AAAAAACTACGGAACGTTAGGTTATATGCTTGGCAGTTATGTAAGGGGAAATTACAGACGCGAAGCGAACACAACAATAACATACAAATACTACAATAATATACCCAAGATATATTTAAACTTATGTGGACGAAAGAACAAAACGATGGACAAAAATTCTTCAATTTTCAGGACAGGCTTTGCCTTGGCCTCCCAGCTTGTTACCTGGCCTGTCGCAAAGAAAACTCTATCAGCTACAAGCAAAGGCTGATCCTCTGCTCCTCCCTCTCCTCCCCAGCTATCATTGCTGACAAGGTAAGATCCCTCTCAGCTAAACATCTTTTATACGGCATAAAGCCCTTCTTGCATCCCATTGTGTTTGTTCTAGCTTTCGTACTAATTCTGGAGTAAAGTGAGCCCGCTTCCCTTGATTCCTTTCCTTCCCTTTCGATGGAAAGATTGCTACTCTGAGACTCTACTTCCCCATTCTTATCTCCAACAAGAGATGCACTACCTATATCCGTGTTTAAACCTAATAAAAATCCATCCTTCCCACCATATTTCTCCTCTTCCCTTCTATCAAATGATTGACGAACCTTGATTGGGATTGGATTAAGAATCTGTGAAGGTGCGTGTGCTGCATAGCCACAAAGGGAAGCCTCTGCATGGTTCGATTCATTGTCCATTGACTCAATGTAATGGAATGGCTCGGGTAATCTGTGAGATGTGCCACTTGATGTCCATTCAGAATGACTCGACGAAGAACTCAGAAGCACAACATTCCATGGCAGTGCCTGGTAACATGCACCATCATTTCTGTCTAGTTCCTGCATTTTGCAAGTCTCAGTTGGATAAGATGGTCCCTGAGGATCAGTAACTAGAAATGTCTTGCCAAACAGCTTCAAACACTGCGTGGCTGATCCAGTTGATTCTTCCTTAACCAAAGCATTATCTTCGTATGGCAGCTCCAATTTCTGGACAACCAAATATAATATTGTTGTTAACAACAAATCAATTCAGATGCGTCAAAATTATTATAAAATTAGTAAAGTAAGTACCGAAGGAGTTTGTTCCTCTGTACTTGAATGAACATATTCTTGGCTAGGAGAAGATTTGGATTCGGCTGGCAAAAAGTTAGCTGCTTCGGAACTAAAAAAGGCACCACCATTGACAGCAGCAGATGAAATTGGTGAGGGGCTTTCGTTAGACATATCAGAATCCATAGTAGCATCCAAACCAGTTGCAGACAATACCGATGTCGGAGATTGGTTTTCCTGCTCTGAGGAAGAGAGATTGGGGGATGCAGAACTTGACGGTTTCTCGAGCGCTGAGATTACATTTTTGATGGGAGAAACCTGCTTACGAGGATATGGGTGCATTGGCTTCCTTTTGGGCCTAGGAGGAGGAATATCAATTGGTTTCACAGAGCAGGCATCACCACTATTAGACTCGCGAACAACCTAAGCAGAAAGACACATCCAAGCTTTAATATTCAATGGTTTAAAAAAGTTAAAACCTCACACAAGTCTGCACGCCTTGGAGTCGCAAGATATAATGGGTGATAATCATACTGGAATAAGAGCAGTAAAAACCTTGGAGAAAAACTTTTGCGCGTGGCTTCGAATTTGCACTGCAGTTTTTGTGCCCACATGCTCTGATAAAATCAGAATCTCTTTTAAATAAATCGAAGACTATATTAAGTTACTCAAGAAAACATTCATGTACCGAATAACCACCTTCTATTTTTCTCCATGCTCGACCGTAAAGTTTTAATGCCTCGAGAAACTTTTTATGCTCTTCTTCGGTCCATCTTTCTCTTTGTTTAGTGATTGTGTATGGTTTCCTGACCTATTCACAACAAAATAAATAGAAGCAAGATAAGTTGAGGTTACCAAAAAGTTCTCCATGACATCAATAAATAGTGGGGGGGCATACAAACCTTTGAAGCAAAGTCATCCTCAGGAGTCAACTGCTCTTTGAACATGATACCCTTAATGGAAGGCATACCGATTTTCAGAGAAATTTGTTTGCTTGTAGGCAGGATAATATCTGATCCTGATCCAGTGCCTTCACTTTGACCCTACAGAAAAGAAAGTGGGTGTAAAGCATACAATATCAAGAAGTAAACTCGAGAAAGAAAATTTCTCAAACAGGTAACTTCATTAATTTTAATATATGTCAAGGACTCCAATTCTTCAGCACAAATATTGTAATTATAGAAGCATTCCTCACAGAGGCACTATCAGCTTTCCAAACTTCTTTTTGCCATTTAATGGAAAACTTTGTGAGCAGTATTTGTCATTACCAATAACTATTTAATAAGAAGAGGTTTAAAGCTCGATATATCTTCAACTGCATCGACCAGTCATATACTTGACGTTCCATTACTGACATAGATTCGACAAGCTTTCCGAGTCCCATACGGGCGGCATGGTGAGCCCAAGTTACGACAGCTCGAGATGAAGGGGGTCAATTTTATTGTAGAGCCGTATGCTACGCACAAAAGATAATGCCCTGTTGGATAATTTATAGAATCTCCATTACTAATCCTTTGCATATCTTGGTTTTCCTAACCATCCACTCATTTTTGTTAACCTTCCATTATGGAAATAGAATAATATTTAATGGATGAAAATGAGAAAATTTATAACCCTGAGCCAGGCAGTAACATTATTTTACTTTCTATTCGACTAAGAAAAAGACCACTCCCTGCGATAGATCTGCCTTAAGGGGGGATACATACTCTATTCTCGTAAGATGATACACACTAGCTAACAGTCCGCCAGGGGCTTCATTCGATAAGGCAAGTGGCTTCGCTCCTTCTCGAAGACCGGATTGCACTACACCGCTAGCCTTATGGAATACAGCCATCGGAATATCTGCTTTTTGAGTACCTTGAGCAAGTTCAGTAGCCGAAACATGGAAAATACTGACTTTTTCTCTTCTGCTCACAAATAACACAAGATTCAAAACAACCATAAATTTTACAATAAACATGGCATCAAACTTGACAGTCATACAGGGTGTTCAAATATTTGTGCCTAAAGAAAGGTATTAATCATTACCTAAAAAGTAATTTCTTAGAATCAACAAAACTTACATAATAAATAGATCTTTCATAGATATCTCAATAAACTCAATAGCAAATCAATAGACTTCAATTAGATTACACTTCAGCGTACAGACATAGGTAGATTGAGCATTCACCTGTGA